CACGCAACGTCGCGGTTGAAACAACGGCAAATTGGCCAAACAACTGTTCATTTTTCTCGTCGCGCCACCCCGTTCAATCCCTTGTTGCAGAGCAAACACGCGTACGTGTTGCGTGCCCGATTACGCGATGCTCAAAATACGATGAAATTACGATGAAAAAACAAGCTTGCGAATAAAAAGGAAGAGAAAAGGAGGAAAAAAGAGGAGAGGAATAAATGAAAGGAAGGAGAGGATTCGCCGCATCGTCGTAAATAGCCCGCTGTTTTAAAGTCGCTTTAGATTGCACGTTTCGAAACGATTGTTATCGGTCAACAGTCATCATTGGTCAGTTTACATAGCCGCCTCGTATCGATCGACATTCCCGGTAATTACGTATTGTCTGTACGAACGCTGCCGTGTCGCTATTATGCGCTCGTGTACACTGCGATGCACACGCACGCTCCCTGCGTACGTGTGCGCAAACACGGCAGGCAAAGTCTCGGTGTGCGCGCCACGGTTCCGTGAAACGTGTCACAAACACGTTCCAGGTTACCGATAAAACGGCTAGGTACGCGCCAATGGAAGAGGCGACCGGGTTAGATTCTTTCCGGGATACGGTTGGGAAAAAAATTGGCCGGCGTTTAGCTCGATTTTAGCGACCGCCCCTCGTGTTTCCCGACGCGCGTTGATGGACCGACTTCCGACTGAATTTGTAGGTTAGTTGTCTCTCGTCCGTTTGTCTTCTTTCATCCGGTTCGATCGCGAAATATAAAAGTTATAAAAGTTCAGATATAATAATATTTTTGATATTTTATTTTATTGTATACCCAAGAATTGCCACGAAGGGTTGAAATGAAGAAGAATAAATAAATAATTCTATTTTTAAATTCACTGTTTGTATCATCGATAGCGATAGAAATTCGTATTTGCACAATGCATATATATAGATTGTCGAGTCATTTCGAATCTGAGTAGATTGCACATTGATCGAGGTGTAATGATATTCTTGATATTTTATTTATATCGAGAGATAGAGAATTGGCAAGAAGGATTGAAATGAAGAAGAATAAATAACAAATGATATTAGTTAATTCTATTTTTAAATTCACTGTTATCGTCGCGATAGAAATTCGTATTTGCACAATGTATATAGATTGTCGAGTCATTTCGAATCTGAGTAGATTGCACATTGATCGAGATATAATAATATTCTTGATATTTTATTTATATCGAGAGATAGAGAATTGCGAAGAAGGATTGAAATGAAGAAGAATAAATAAACAAATGATATTAGTTAATACTATTTTAAAATTCATTATCATCGCGATAGAAATTCGTATTTGTACACAACGTGTATAGATTGTCGAGTCATTTCGAATCGTGGGTTTTATAGATCCGAGTAGATTGCACACGCTTCGTTTATTTCCGTGGAAGTGAGTCGACACGCGTAAAAAATGATGTAAACTGTAATCCATCAAAGGGGCGCGTAATCTAAAGTTGTGTTTAACATCGTTAAACTGTCCCGAGCTAATTGTAGTAGAAATAGATGTCTAGCGGTTGGACGGTTGCATCGTTTTATTATTATACATATCGCCGTCGCTACGATTACGAGTTTATCTGCATCTCGTTCTCCTTAATTGTCTCCCTGCCATTTATACACCGGCGCACAATGTTTGCGTGTTGCCGGTACGCGGCGTGGTAATCGAAACGCGTGTAAATAACAGAGATTCAAAGTATTCTCGCCGAGAAAGTTTTCTTATTCCTCGAGAGGCGATTTGCATCCGCCGATGCAAATTTTACCCGGCTATTCATCCCCGTCCGATTATTTATCACGGAAGATTGCGGCGTGACGTACTTGACATACTTTATTATTGTTTCGCGTATCAGATCCGAAGGTAGGCAACCGGCCACGACTTATCCTGGCGCGTATCTTGCGGAAAAATACCGTGGCGAGAAAACTCGATAAATTATACCGCGTTTCATCGTCATTTTCGCGGTAAAAAATCGCGAATTATCTCTTCGTAAGTTCCTTCCTTCGATCGAACGAGGTTGAAAAAAAAAAAAAACGGCCTAGAAAGGTAATCGGAGCCGATAAATCCTTATCGAACAGAGTTATTCTTGGAGATGAATTCTCGAGATGCTCTCGATAAGCTGCGATCAAGATTTGTAAATGTAAAATTCGCGTGAAAAATTAATCGAATCCGTTGCCAGCGTCGATTGTCGATCCCAGAGAGAAAAGAAATCGAAAATGATCGGATAAAAGACGGGTAATAACCATCGAGCATCTGACGAAACACCTAACATTTCCTTGAAAATGGTTTACGAAAATGATTCGAATTTCGAAGGGTTGCAAAGGGTGATTTCTAGAAAAAACGCTCGACGAATATGGAGATTTGTCGAGCAAAGTTGTTACTTCTTTCGTCCGCGACGAAAGAGTTCCGCGTAATAATCCCAGGGCAACCGAAAAGTTTCGTTTAAGGACACTCTGTCGGATCGAAACTTCTCATCCCGTTATAGGCTGCTCCTCCGCTAAAGTGGCAACCCGTTCTCTCTTCTTCTTCTTCTTCTTCCTCCTTTTTTCTCTTTCCTTTTCTTTTTCTTCCTTTTCCCCTCGCTTCTCTTTTTCTTCCTCCTCCTCCTTCCTCCCCCCTCCCTTTTTTTTGCACACGATCTTCGTTTTTAGAAGCTTCCCTTTGAGCAAGGAGCGAGGTTATGCATGACAAAAAGACACCTCCGTCTCCGGTGGTGTACCGAAAATTTTAATAAACATCGAGAGAAGAAAGTATCCGGTGCATCGTGCACGGGGACGGAAAGTTAACGTGGCGAGGAGTTTCGTCTTGATTTATTAATAACGAAATATAAAGCGGCTCGTCCCTTACGTAACAACGTGCTCGCCCTTTTATCCCTTGTATCCTCGCCTCTGATTTTATTTCTATTTTATTTATTCAGCGATTCGAGTGTAATTTGAATCGTATTGCGTTGGTTGCTCGCCAAGTTGCTTGAATTCTGACAGTTTTTAAATTAACTCGTGAATATATCCTTTTAAATTTTCCACTCGACATTTTCACTCGTTTGAAATATCTTATCCCGTGTGAATATCAAATTCTATCGCGAAGTTTATACGAAAAAATTTTTCCAATCACTTTATCGTAATTATCTTATCATAGATATATATGCAAAATAATTGAGTGGAAAATCTTTCATTCTCTTTTTATCACGATTACTTTATCTATACACCTTATCTATTAGGATAGAGAAATCTTTTATTCTCTCGTTTACGAAATACTATACAATCTCGTTTTCGTGTCATTTTCAACATTCGATTCAATTTATATCCCATGTATATATGCCCGCTTAATTACACGAACCTTTTTTTTTTCCTTTCTTCCTTTTTTTTTTTCCACAGAAAAATCGCGTTTTACGCACAATTTGCCCGATCATAAAATCGAATGACATTCAATTTCGCAACTTTTGAAGGGGCCTTCTTTTGCAACGTATATAACCGGATGGAATGGGGCAAACTCAATCAGAGCAATATGAAATCAATTGTAAGGGGATTAAAAGCCGAAGAGCCATCGTTGCTTCGCGCATAAAACTTCCGAAAACTCGATCGCTGGCCCGATTATTGTTTGCATTGGCCGGCCGCATTCGTTTGAATTTTAAACAGTTTTCTTTCCGTTCTTCCTCGATCTTTCTCCAAAACGACGTCATAGATTTCATCGTACCCAATCACGAGGGATACGAGCAACACGCGCTAACAGTGTCTGTGCCATCGACCGTGATCGTTAAGAGGAACCTTTGTTTGCGTATTTTAATTAATACGCCAGAGAGAGAGAGAGAGAGAGAGAGAGAGAGAGAGAGAGAGAGAGTATTTGTCTTCCTATTATTATCGTC